GATTTTTCTGGGGATGTTTTACCCCACTGTTCCTCCATGGAACATGAATCATGCCCGTATTGTGAGGAGCGGCTGAGGGAGCTGGGTCTCTTTAGTTTGCAGAAGAGGAGACTGAGGGTAGACCTCATTAATGTTTATAAATATTTAAAGGGTGAGTGGCACGAGGATGGAGCCAGGCTCTTCTCGGTGACAATGATAGGACAAGGGGTAACGGGCACAAGCTGGAACACAGGAGGTTCCACTTAAATTTGAGAAGAAACTTCTTCTCAGTGAGGGTGACAGAGCACTGGAACAGGCTGCCCAGAGAGGTTGTGGAGTCTCCTTCTCTGGAGACATTCAAAACCCGCCTGGACGCCTTCCTGTGTAACCTCATCTAGGTGTTCCTGCTCCGGCAGGGGGATTGGACTGGATGAGCTTTTGAGGTCTCTTCCAATCCCTAACATTCTGTGATTCTGTGGTTCTGTGTTCATTATGACTTTGCTGATGCCCCAGTTTGCTGCTGTACCCACACAGGGAAAATAAGGGATCCAAGAGTAAAACGGTGATGAGCCCCTCACAAAAAAAGCAACTCAAATCACTACATTGCAAAAATCACTTAGACATTTTGTCAGTCATACCTCACTGTAACAGTTGCTGGAACGAATAGTCATTAATTACCTTTGTCAGGTGAAATTTCCTTAATTGCCTGCAACTTTACTTCCAGGAAACTCCCACTTTCAGCTGCTGCTGCCAGTTTAAAGGCCACGTCTCTCGGTGGTATTTTTCAGGAAAAGTCCAGGAAAATTAACAGGGGATGAAGTTATGCATGGCCCCACTTCTGGCTGTACGAGATCGGTCGTGTCCTGGAGTCACCTGCCTGACCTGCCTGCATCAAGGAGAAAGGTCATTGGGACGGGGGTGGAGGAGGAAGGTGGTCAGTCAACCTGTCATGTAATCCAAGGGCAGTCTTTTGTGACCTTTTCTTCTCCCTAAAAAATACAGGAAACATGGTAGCAGCCTGCCAGGAGAGCTGCTGCTCCTTGAACCTTGACAGTCTGCATTCGGCGTTGCGAGGAGACATTCAGCATTCAGCACGCATGGAGCTGCCCTGGCCATCAGGCTCCTGTACAGATGTTCATTGAACTGTCAGAGCATTGGGAAAAAAAGAAATTAGTTGTAAGTGGAAGAAGGTTAGTTAAATCTTTTCTGGAAGTATTATATAGCCATTAAATTGCATAGGAAACTCAATAATAATGGGTAATAATGTTCTTCCCAGGAATTAAATAGAAGCCCAATTTATAATGCTGCTTGGCATTCAAACCAGAGTGTTCCACCTTCCTGGTACATGATAAACCTTTACTAATTAATCCTCACAAAGCCTCGGTGAGGCAGATCTCTTCACACCACTGATTCTGTTTTATAAACAGGAACAAGAAGACAAGATACGTCCTTTGAATCTGGGGTTGTATATGTCTTCAAACACAATTTGGGTCTCTGGGAGCCCACTCGGCATCTGTGTTTGAATGCTGAGAGGTTTGTAAAAAACCTCGGAGCCAGGATCAGAAGTCAAAGTTTCTTTGTGCCCCTCCACTGTGCTTGGACCATCACGACATGTTTCAATATGACTCTTCAGCACAATCTCCAGAATACTGATATTTTTCCTGCATGACCATATTGCACTGCAGGAATGGTATTTAGACAAAAAGTCAATGGTCTTAAGTCTCAAGTAAGAACAGTAGAAATTGGCCCATAACGTAGCTGCCAATTATGTCGAGGTTCATAGGAACAAAACTTACGACCAGGTGGAAGTTGTTACTTGCAGAAAATCAATATGGATTGTACGGGATGTGGGTTGTCAAATAAACGCGGGTGTAATTTACACCAGGATGCAGGACTATCCGTGACCACAGACAAATTAGAATTTAGGGTCGTTTTAAGATTTTCTTCTGTCTCCTTGTCCCCACATAAGGCATAGCATAAATAAGCACTGGATATAATGAAATGGAGATTCATCCCAGCACCGAGCTGCAGCAGAAGTAGGGAATTTTCCTTCTGATTACAGTTTAATTTTTGTCTGCTTACACCGGAGACAAATTTGAGTTTGCAGTGAATTCCACAGCCTGTGCAAGAATCCCACACAACAGAGACAGAGAATCTGCAATACTTATCAAAAAGCAAATAAAAATGAGGATGGAAACAGCCGGGACAGAAATAGGGTTATGTAGACATGATGTTATGTGTTAAAAAGGTGAACTAAAGTCCAACTTGTCAGTTAATCCATGCTTCAGTGTTTGAAGTGTTGCCATGGTGGCCCAACAAGTTGTCTCCTACTTTCAGGCACCACCAAGCCTAGCTGAAGGTCTGCCTTGGACAAGGGAGCATTTTTTCCAACTTATTTTTGGCTAAACAGCCCTTGATGCAACAAAAGTAGTGAATTACCAAAAAGAACAGTGCTGCCTTGGTGATGGACTGTTCAGAGAATGCAATGCACCCTTTATATCCCGAGTGGAAAAAAAAGGACTCAGGAGTTTATTACAATTTTTGATGCATCAGAGATGACACTAATAATACTTTAAAATATATAACAAAGAAAGGAAATGCTCTTTACTAGCTGTAGAGAGATTGATATATGGTTAGTGCAGAACAGAGACTCTTTCAGCGGAGTTAGAAGATTGCTCCCATTCCACCTGTCTTCTCCTTGAATTAGTTAATATTAAAACTATGTTTTGGCAAGACAAGTCATGCTAGACGAAATCCTGATTTGCTGAAAATTACTGAGAATTTGTCCATTGCTTTCAACAAGGGCAGGATTTTACCTAATATTCCTAACAGACTTTTATAAAATAGTGTTGAAAAAGATCTCAAGGGCCATCCTATTTCTCTTCTTGCCACAAGGCAGGATCAGCTACATCTCTGTCAGTCGTGATGGATGATTGTCTAACTGGTCCTGAAAGAGCTGCAACACTTGATAGCTCTGCTTCCATTTCCCCCTGTCCCAAGATATGAAAAGAAAAAAGGACTTTTATTACCAACTCTACCAAGATTTTTGACTGGTTTAAAGGACCAGTGACAATTTTAACGTCTGATGTCTGACGATCTGCTAAGGATAAGAACTAATCCTACGACTCCCCAGGGAGCTTTCTCATTATTTATTGACATTTTTCCCTTTTTATCTTATTCCTAAGATATCTGACATGAAATCATGTTGTTCAGATTCCCATCTTGTCTTTTTCTCCACAATTTCTGTTCTGCTCTGATTTCAGTGGCTGCCCCATAAGAACTGATAGTTTAAACATGCTTTTCTTTACCTAAAGGCCTGTCAGTGTTCCAGTCGTGCAGCATAAAATGCGTAATTCTGATCCCAGGAGTGAAATGCCAACTACTGTAATTACATTGGCAACTTGCAAAGGTAGGGAGCAGGGGAGGAAGAGAAGGATGGTTGTTCAGTTTTGAGCTCCTCACTACAAGAAGGACACTGAGGCACTGCAGCATGTCCAGAGAAGGACAAAGAAGCTGGTGAAGGGTCTGGAGAACAGCAATTATGAGGAGCTGCTGAGGGAGCTGGGGTTGTTTAGACTGGAGAAAAGGAGACTGAGGGGAGACCTTATTGCTCTTTACCTGAAAGGAGGTTGTATGGAGGGGGAAGTCAGATTCTTCTCCCAAGTAACAAGTGATAGGATGAGAGGAAACAGCCTCAAGTTGTGCCAAGGGAGGTTTAGGTTGGATATTAGGAAAAATTTCTTTACTGGGAGGCTTATCAGACACTGGAATGGGCTGACCAGGGAGATGATCGAGTCACCATCCCTGGAGGTATTTAAAACTTGGGTAGATGAGGTGCTTAGAGACACAGTTTGGTAGTGGACAGCTTATGGTTGGACTCATTGATCTTAAAGGTCTTTTCCAACCAGATGATTCTGCGATTCTATGAAATATTTAAGTCTGGACCCTGTTGAAGAGCACCTCTATGGTTCGGTTATGCTTCCAGAATGAAGCATCGCTGGTCATTAACTACCCTTTGCCAGAAATCCAGTGCTCACAGAAAATAAGTAGAGCCTTTGTTTTGGTTTCAAGAAGACCTGATTTGCACTCAAAAATAGTGAACCACAGCTCCTCCTTGGCAGGCAATTTGAAATACACTCCTTGCATCTCCTGCAACTCCAAGAAATCTGCCCCACAGCAGCTCAAGATACATTTATGGTTTAGAATGGGAAACACAGAGACAAAGATTAATATTTACAACTGGTATTTCTGAAAATAAAGGTCTGAGGCAGATGCTCACATACAGCAGTCAGAGAAGGAGAGGTGAATTTCTCATGCATTCTCTCTCATCCCAGGGTACACCATGCATTAAGCCTTCACGATAAATAATATTTTTAAAACTTGCTACATGGAATCCAATAGCAAATAGCACAACTTGTTCTTGATAAGTATGTGAGAAGAGACTTTGTACTTGCAGTCTGCTTTTAACCCTTACTGAAGGTTTTATTCTCCAAACACAAACACTTAACAGTCTTTACCAGCAAAAGACAAGACAAGCAGCCTTTTCAACTAAGCCATAAAATATCTAGTTTCAGATATAATCACGAGACCTTCTGACATTAAAGGGTCCCAGCTTTGGAATAAAGTTGATTAATGCTGTGACAGACTAGCAGAATGCCAGACCAGAGTTTCAAATAGGACTCTTGACAGAAGACACCTCTGCACCATTACTGCCACCGAGCAGTCCCAAGAACATCACCAGAAAGGCAGGAGGAATGCAGTGGGGCTCTGGAGGAAGAAGAACGCTGTGCTGCTGGCCACAGAAATCCTTACATGCTGTTCGCAGGAAAAATAGCAACTGACTTAGAGGCTGGGATGGAGAGCCTGCGTAGAAACCGGGACAGTTGCTGGAACATATGACCCATGGGGATAAGTCTTCAGCATCACCTCAGTATCTGTGGTTTTGAACTTACTCAAGAGTCTGGTGAGATTCACTGCGACTTCAAATCAGCTTCCTGGGGCAGTGGGAAAGCTTTTTCTGTTCAGTGCTGTCTAAAGAATAGGTTCCTGAAGGCATTGTTGTAGTTTTTGTTGAAAGCAGTGTAGATGAGTGGATTAAAAAAGGAATTTGAATAGCCTAGCCATAGAAAAATACTCTTCCAAATGGGTGGGATGTCGCATGAGCAGAGGGGGTTGATGAGCTCCGTGATGAAGAAGGGGATCCAGCAGAGCACGAAGACCCCAATAAGGATGCCCACCATGAGGGCAGCTTTCTTTTCCTTCTGCTCTCTCCATGTGTCTCCGTCCGTCTGGAACGTAACAGTGGCATGACGGACAGTGAAGACCATCTGTGGCTGCTGGGCAGCTTCTTTTACCTGCCAAACACAAACAGAAGTTGCACCATATGTGCCTCAGTCAGCAGATCCCACACAGCAGGTGCACAACCAACCCACGCAAGTGATGGCCAGAGCTCACGGGCAAACGCGGGCCATCTATGTCACACTCTAATGGAGGGGAGATTGGTTGCACAACCCTCTTCTGGGTAACAGAGACTATTTTTAAGTGAGGCTAGGGACCAGAGCAGTGATATATGAGCACATGGAATTGCTCACAGAGCATTGCAATAAGATTATTTCCCATTTACAATCAGATCAGTAGAACAGGCACACACCCACGTGCACAAAAGTCTCCTTGCTTTCTCTCAACTCATTGAGTTTAAGAGTCCTTGGTAGGAGAGGCAAGAAAATGAGCACACATTTCATTTCTCCCTCCAAGAAGACTTTACGGTGCCCAGTCACCATGCCTGTGCACCGTGACATGATGCAGCCACTATCAGGAAGGATTTACGAGGACACTCTGCATGTGTGTCTACTGTGTGGGTAAATTCACCACCTCCTCAAAGCCACAGATGCTTGCCAGGTTATCATCCCCAGCAGAGAGGGGATCCCATCCATTCACATCCCCACAGTGTCCCCACAGGGGGAACAGTGAACCCCTCACTCATGCTGGTGAGCACTGATTCAGCATTCCTCGGAGGGACATCTGTGAGTCACCACACGCCCACGTGGAGCTCAGGCTCACAATTTGGACCAAAGTTGCTTTAGCTACACCTTGTGTGTTCTCAGCTGGGGACTCAGAAGGAGGCAGAAAATTGGGCTTGCAAGCTTTGCAGTCAACTTTCCCTCGAAAGCCTCCAGGATTCACAGGGCTTTGGTGGGATGCTGTTTGCTTGCACACTTTACGTCTGATTTTCCCCCACTGCTGCAAGGGCTTGACTGCTACTAGCAGTTGTTTAGAGCAAAATGCAACCGAGTTGACCTACCTCCAGGGCTTCTGGTCTAACGGGGGTGATGGAGTTGTTCTTCCGAGATCCAATTCGAAACTTGGCTGCCTTGTAGATCTTCCAGTACACAAAGAGCACCACACAGAGGGGCAGGTAGAAGGCGCCAAAGGTGGAGAAGATGGTGTAGGAAGGCTCGTGGCTGATTTGGCACTCCTCATTGTCCTCTGAGTAAGTCTCACCCCAGCCAAAGAGCAGTGGGGCCAAGGAGATGAAGGCAGAGAGCGCCCAGGTGAGGGCAATCATGATGTTGGAGATGCGGCGCCGGATGAGGAGTGTGTACTCCAGGTGGCGGGTAATGGACCAGTAGCGGTCAAGGGCGATGGCCGTGACATTCCAGATGCTGGCGGTGCAGCACAGCACATCGAAG